TTGTGCAGAGGAGAGAATTAACTTTAACCACATATTCCTTACTTTAAATGGAAATGACAAACCTTGTTGGGACGGCCAAAAAATGAAATTTGGTCAATCATTTTGGGACGGAGGGAGTATAATTTATTGATCATGGATGAATTGTTTGAAGCCTTGAAAGAAGAAGTTTTTTTTGTCTCGACCGCCGTGTAAGCTCGTTGACTTATTGACTTCAATTCTTAACAAACCGCTGAGGCACTCACTGTTTTGCAGCATTCTTTACTCTTGTTCATATTGGAATTTGGAAATAACAAATCAATTTGAATGAGATTTGCAAGTTGGGAGATTTAGACTTGGGAGGCCTAACATGACTTAGTAATTTGTAATTAAAAGTATTATAAAACTGAGATCCGAATGGAATTAAGATAGACATGCTACTCTACATTTATTTTAAAAATTAAATCATGAGCGAATTAATTGAGTTTAAAAAAAAAAAATAATCTATTCACATCAGATAGAAAGAAATATTTTTGAGCCTAGAACGCCTCTATTCCCCTAGGGCTGCCCCTTAATGTACCATCAAGGTATGGTATTTTTGCTCATCCTATTATGTCTCTGTACAGTTCCTCTTCGTACATACCCAAGATATATACAGTAAGAAAATCTCTGCAAAATTATATTCCACCGTTGGATAACTCCCAATGACTGATTCGTCTTGTTTCTTCCACCACATGTCACACATGCATGCCTGATCTTTGGGATTTGAACAACTTAATATTGAAAGAACTAAAAGATTTTATTTGATTCTTCTGAAGATTTAGCCCCTAGCCTAGCTGCTCCTGCGGCTATAAAGGGACAGCGTGCCCTAGCTACTTCATGCTGCGATGCAAATCAAACAAAAAGAATAATGAGGATTTTGAGAAGCTCTTCTTCTTCATCAAGACTAAAGATGAAGATAAATGCCAATCTTTATCCGTCCTTCTTCAGGATCTACTTGGGTGAAGCCCTTTTCCGGGAACGCATTGTAAGTGTCAATTTGGTTATTAATTACTCCAACTATTAATCATGCATAAATTTAATCCAACTATATATAGTTAATGATGTTACATTTAATATGTTAATAAACAGCATGTACCACGTGCTTTCATGGATGCACACGGGGACAAGCTGTATGAGAGTTCATGGACTGTGAAGACAGAAAAGGGAGGGTCCAGAAAAATGAAGATAGAAAGACAAGGAAGAGATTCATTCTTCTGCAAAACAGATTGGGAAGATTTTGCTACCGATCACAACCTAGGCTATGGAGACATTATTGTGTTTTTTCTGGTTGGAAAATCTGAGTTGGATGTTCTGCTTCTTAGCCAAACCACTTATTGCCGCATTGAGAATAAAGCTACCTTACCTTATAACAATGAAAGTGGTGATGGAATTGATGCATTATCTCCTGATGATGAAGAGGAGGATGACAAGAAAGATATTGAAATTATCCCAACAATATCCAAGAGGAACAAGCCATCGCGTTCCTATGGCAGAAAGTCAAAAGTAACCTCTGGTATCATTTTACTCTTTACCTTCGTTTTGACATATTTTACTTCCTGCAAGGCTACAACTACAACCCTCTATTAAATTCACTCTTTGAATTACGAGTTTGTAGATAGATTTTTTTTTTACATTGAGTTTTCAAATTTTTCAAAGAATGAGAGAGACTAATTATGACGGACTACTTGTAGGTGTAAAAGAGTCTTTTACTACAAATTATTTATGAAAAGGGAAGGTGTGAGTTTGATACTTTGATTTGGGTACATATATCTAGAACAAGAAATTGAGAACCTAACTTTATTTAGGGATGGGTGAGTATAAAATGAGTGTAAGAGCTCGTTTGCATTTTTTTGGCTTATTAACTTTTTGGGTCAACTTTTTAACTCCGTATTATAAATGCTGTAGCGTGTAATAAACTAATACGAAGTAACTAATAAGTAAGATTAAATTTATTGTTTTTGAACTAATTTAGTTAATTTTCATATAACTTTGTCATCTTTCTTTTTTGGAACGTTCCAAAAAACTTTGTCACTTTATCTTTTAATCAATTATTTTGTGGTTTCTGTTATTTCTCTCTTCTCTACACAGATCTCAACCACATAGTTTTCACTTTATTATTCTATGTGCCAATCAATTTTGGCAAAGTTGTAAGGGAAGGAGGTAATATTTCAAATACTTTGTATAATGTTTTCATAACCTACCATATTCAGCCTATTAAGTCAGAATTTTATCAATTTTAGCAGAATGAGGTGATTGAGCCAATTTCAATGTAATTAGAAACATGCTCTAAAGTACATAATACTCGATTGTTAAATAAAGAAGCTCAGGGTGGAAATATTATCCATATCATGTTATCAACCTACATATTTTGTACTCTGTAATATTGAGATGAGGGTAAATGGAGGAAGATAGCGTGGAGACTCTTATTTTTTTATTAGTTAATGCAGAAAAGGAAGTGAAGACAGAGTGTGAAAGTGAAACAGAGGGAGTAAAGATTCAAAGGTTCAGTAATGTCAATCTCTCTACTCGGTATCCTTACTTCGAAACCGTCGTGAAGCGGAGCCACGCGGATAAAAGTTACATGGTACATACTAATTAATAAATATTTATGATGATAATGTTTCCAATATACAAGTATGTGTTTTTTTTTAATTCATTATTAACATACTGCTTTAATTTATTTAATGAGTTAAATGCCATTATAAGCTGGAGTGTATGATTAACTTTGTTGGATGTTTGGGTTGGTTGAATTAAATGAATAGTTCATCCCTTTGGACTTTGCACGCAAGACGGGAATCATTGATGCAAAGGAAGTCAAACTGATGATGAGAAGCCCCGGAGGGCAATATGGGAAGAGTGTGAGAGTGGGGATTTCGAGATTGGATCATAGGGTCCATATGATCGACGGGTGGAGGTCATTTCGGCGGGCCAATGATATCAAAGCAGGGGACGAGTGCTCCTTTACTCTGGTTAATCCCAACACCAAAGGAGTCATGCGACTATTGGTCAAAAAACTCTTCAAATGAGAAGAAAATATTTGGAATTTTGCATGGTGTACCAGCCCAAGTGTAACTAATTATGTATGCATAGATAATTATGTTGGGTTTAGTTAAAAACATGTTTGTGATCCCGAATTGTTTAGACATAAACAATTCATTTTTGGAGTCACAAACACTTCTCCTTACTAAAATCTCAAACTAAAATCTCAAGTGTGATTGTCTATTAATATAGACAATTACACTTGAGCGTGTAAGTCCATGTGTAACCCGACATGGACAGGTCATCCATATTTGTGTCATCTTTTTGGATTTGTGTGTAATTTCACGGGCCTGTGGGCTGTGTACCTATTTGGTACGTTTTTTGGTTGACTTAGATGTACGTAAGACCTACGATTGGGAGCCGCATATTTGTTTGACATAAGCACATACTCCGTAATTTTGATCCTCTTTTACACTCTTACCAACATTTCAAACCCACTTTAAAATGGTCGCTTAATATTGTACGGAGTTCTTGAAATATCAGTTGGGTATATGGCGGCACCTTAATTGGTTTTAATAACTTGAAAAAAAGTTTGGGACAAATCATATGGCAGGGTTAGAAAATGTATGCGGTTAATGATCTTACTTTTTGGTACAAATGCATAGTGTAAATATGTTTGTGAAAAAGAATATATAATTACAATTTTATCAATGGCTATTAGCCTTACATTGCTTACATAGAAGTTAATTTATTCTTAAATGTAAAAATAGGACTATACTTCTTTTATTATCAAAATAGGAGTACTATATGTTCCATCTTCATATTCTACCCTTTTCTTTTATCACAATAGGATTTATGGATCGAAGTATTTCATGAAGGGAAAATCATTGTCATAGTCCCTCAAATAGTACCAATATTGAATGTAATCCCTGTATTTTCATTGTTGTATATGTCACCTCTCAATTGTCTACATACATTGTTGTAAATGTGGGTGTAATTTAGGGTGAAATGTACAATGTTGGCGAGAATTACATTTACATGCACCTGATGGTACCATGGCTCAATTACGGAGTTAAGATCAAGTACATAACGAGATCAAGCCATTAACGGGATCAACCTATAAGCAGGATTAGCTCTCAATGGGATCAGCCCTTAACGGGATCAAGCCCTAAACATGATTAATATTAGTTAGCCGTTAGGCCTAATTAGGAGTCAGGCCCACGAGAGGAACCCACAACCAGGTCAGGCTGGACAGTAGACCTCGAGCCGGGACAGAGTTCTAATGAGGGCGGGATATTCCTAGGGCTTACGTGGCAGACTATCATTTGAGCATAGCCATCTGGCAGCAGGCAGGAATAACAGAAGGAACGTGGACTTAAAGGAACAATCATTGCACAACGTCCAACGCGTTATAGGAGTCCTATTCGACTAATATGTGATTAATAACATTTATTACTACCTCCGTCCCACTATGTTTGGGACAAAGGGGTGTGGCACAACTTTTAAGAAAAAGTAGAATTGTGTGGTTGATATTGAATTGATAAAGTGTGAATAAAGTAAGAATGAATTATAACCACTCAAACATTACCAAATATGGTATGGGACAAACAGAATAGGACGGACGAAAAAGGTAAAACGGGACAAAGTTAGGGGGACGGAGGGAGTATATCAGTTTCTTCCTAGAATACTAATTCCTATAGTGTATAAATACTTCTTGTATACTTCCTATCAAGGGACTGAACTCCGGATAATAAAATAATGTCTTACGCTACCTAATTTTCGTCTGCTCTCGTAGATATAGCTCTCATAGTTGGATTAAACTACATCAACATCGTAACCATTCAGACAACTGAGAGGTAACATTTATCCACTTAAAAACATGGAATTACATTTCAACATCGGTACTATTAATAATAATGTAATCAATTAGAGACACTTGTAATAAATACTTCGTAATAAAGTGGCATTGTTGTACAATGTATCAAACATATTTTACAATTAAAACTTCTAGTCATCAAAATTGGACAATACACACAAGATAGAATAAGAGTGACGTCTGGAGCTGGGCCGCCGTTGGTCTGGACTCCAAACTGCTTGTAGTCGCCCGCTGTCTTTGGGTCGTTGTTTCATAGTCAGCCAACCCACTGTTTCTGCTCCGATCCACAGAAAAATTAACCAACAAAAAACAAACAAACCTTATTTATTTACTTATAATAGATTTCTTTTCACACACACTCAATTCATTTCCTCGCATAATTCATCATCTCCATAATTAATTTTAAAAAACCCGTAAAGAATGGCATCCGAGATTTCGAAGAATCGCAATTCACAAAGCGAAGCTGCTGCTACGACGTCGTCAGTGACAAGCCAGCTTCATCTGTCCAAGTCATCCTCTGCTCCATCCTCGGCTCTTGACAGAGACGCTGTTCTCAGCCGTCTTCGCCACCACAAGCGTGTCCAGACGGTTCGCAGAAAACTGAAGGCGGTGTTCGGAAACCCTCCGCCGCCGCCCTCCGCCGCGGAATCGACTGACACTTCGTCGGCCTGTGAAGATAACAAGTGGCTGCAGTTGAGTGATGTCTTCTTCTCCCCGTAACATTCATAGATTCCCTGGTTGGGATGAGGCCGGCAGCATTGGATGCTCAGAATTTCTTAGAGTGATAAAAGATTGTATAATTACTTTGGAATAATTAAAGATATCAATAAGTTGTACTAGTACATAGTAAATATGACTACCTTCTTCCCATTTGATTGTCTTATTTTAAAATTGACACAATTATTAATTAATAAAGGGGTTGAGAAAGTAAAAATTATGATTGATTTGAATATAATAAAGTTAAATGAAGTAGATCATATTTTTCTTCAAAAAAAAGAAAGGTGACATTTATATTGTAATCCAAAAAAAAAGTAAGTAAAATGGAACGGATGGATTACTATGTATAATTCTAGTAATGATTATGATGTGGTAAGTATTGCGTAACAGAGTAGAAAGTTACTCCTAGTCCACTTAAAAATTCTCATAAGATTTACGGAGTATAATATTTCACTAATAACAAAATTAATTTATATCTGCCAATAATAAATTAATTTCTAATAAATAAAATTACTGATTCAAAAATTATATTACAAAATTTATAAAATCATAAGAAACTCAAATTTGATAAAAGCATCATATAAATTACACCAAAAAGTAACAAATGGAAACCTTAATATGGGACTATGGCAGTAGTTCATTTGAATTCAAATATTTTTGTTTATAGCAACTTTCTTTTTTTGCTTATGACAATTTCTTTATTTGTTACTTTCTTGAACTTGGATTCTGTTTTATTTACGTAAATTTCAATTGCATAAAATTTTAGTTTTCTTATCTCAGATGTAACTATCTAAATGAATTCCAAATGTATACTTATAATTATACATATTAGTTATGAATTCAAGACAAAAATATTACTAATAATTATTTAAATGATATAAAAGAGACCTTTTAAAGTTTTCAAAAAAAAAAAGTTTCAAGAAGGACAAATATAAGGAATAATGCCAAAAATGGGACAAGGGAGTCATCGAAAGACAGAAATAAAGCCGAGTTTCCCAATGGACAAATATGAGACAAAGAGAGGTGTGAAATTTCACAACTGCCCCTGTGTATTTTCTTCTCCATCCTCCCTGCTTCAGCGTCGACCGAGACCAGCAACGAGTCTTACGCGCCGAAGGAAACCAGACAACCAGCAGCTTTCAATCTCAACCGCCCACTCCATCGTCTTGAACTCTTCGTCGTCGCCATCCTCTCTGTCTTCACCACTGCCGCCGACTCCGTTCTAATTTTCTCCTCTTCTACTCTTTCTGTCCGATTGCGAGTAACCTAGGGTTTGCGGGAATGGCGGCGAGTCGGCGACACAGTGGTGTGGATAGGGCTTCGAGGCAGAGACAGCTAGGGTGGCGATGTGGTGGTTCGAATCGCTTTTCTTCACCACTGTGGCGGTGCCTTCCAATTTTATTTTACTTCTGTCTCCGACTGGGTTACACCCAACATCAATTGCACATGAGCGCTTCAATATTTCGCAGGTTCAGAATTGGGATGCGCGCTGGAGATCTAAGGTTGTGTTTGGACTTTGCAGATTCCGATGTTAGATCTACAGTGGTGCTCCATTTTTTGCAGATTCTGGATCTAATTTGTACAGTGGTCGTGGTTATGGCGTCCGCGAGGGCTGGGATTGATGGTAGTTGCGCAGAGCTGTAAAGGGAGGGCTTGGGGGTTGGGTGTGGTGGTGCCAGAGGGGCAAGGCTTTGGGTGTCTCAGGGGAGGGGGCTGAGGTGACGCAGGGAAGGGGGCTGGGGTGGGGGAGAGGTCTGGGGTGTCATGTTGGCGGCGGCGGTTGGTGGTAGTGGCCGAAGGTGAGTTTCGGCGGTGGTCGCCGGTGACAATCGATATCAGCTGCTGGTAACGGGTGGGAGGTGTTGGCTAGCGGTAATTATTATCGGGTTCGGGTAATTGTAAATGTTTGAACCCGGAAATTGTAACTGTGGCCGAACGGGTCAATAAGTGTAACTGGACGGGTCAGGTAACTGTAACTGGACGAGTCAGGTAACTGTAACTGTTAGACGATGATCATTGTGGCGGTGGTCACTACACGGGAATCACTATAAAAATTGATCACCGAGCAGATGTCACTTCGTCAATTGGTCACTGTACAAAAGTCACTGCACATTTGGTCACTGTGATGCAGGTCACCGGTGGGACATATTAATTTTTTGTCACTGGATGAATTTTGTAACTATGTCATTGGTAACTGTAACATTGGTCACTGCACATTTGGTCACTGTGACGGGTTACTGTAGCAGGCCAGTGGGTTTGGGCTTAGTAAGGGTGTAACAGTCCCTTAAGTATTATTTAGTCTTATTTTTGGAACTTAAAATAAAATTGTCTTTTTTTGTCCAAGTGCTTTTAATTAGTATTATTTGAGGACAAACCCCCAAATATAATCGCATTTTTAGACTCTCAAATAATGTTCACATTAAAATGTAGTCATCGTGTATTCAAATGCGAAATATCACTCCTAAATTGTAGAATTGTTATAAATGTTGATGTCATTTCTCAGTTGTAATTGTTGCAAATGTGGTATTTTCTCACATTGTAAATGTCACCCGTCAAATAAAGGTCCACCATAATAATTTGGAGAATCGAGGGATGATTTTAATGTGATCACATTTCAACGTGGTTAATTATCATTTGAAGGAGTGAAAGTATGATTTTCCCTCGGATGTGAATTACAAATTTTATTTTACTATGTATATGCTTTCTCTTAGGTCCACGACTCATTATAAATGCATCTTTTGAGCAACTATATTTAAACATGAGACTGATGGGTTGATTTGAATAATAATATAATAATATCAGGGACCGACTACGAGTGACCAAGATACGAGCTAGCTTGACAAAATATTTTTTGTAGTTCCTTTTAGTTTAAGATTCCAGTAGTCTTCTTTTATTGATCATTTGTTGAGCTGATTTTGTTAGATTAATATTTCCCTCCTCTTATCTCTCATGAAAAATTGAAATTCCACTTTGCGATTGTTCCTCCGTACATAGCGATAGCGTGTATAGCGGCTATAACCTTTGAGCGGGACAAGGATCTAACCCTCTTTTCCTTAAGAGTGACTGGTGAGTTGTTTGGGTGTTGGGTTTCGGAGGGGAGGAGAAGGTCGATGAAGGTTTATGATCATTCTTTTCATGTTTGGAAGTTTATAAAATTGGAAGTGATGATTTTGGAGGGCTTTCTTGATCCTCTAAAGATCATTTTTTGAGTTCCACTAATTTGAAAGGTTTCGAAGGATAATTAACGAAATGACATTTTAAGATCAATTATAAATCAATATTAATTCAATTATTTGAATTCATCATATCTTAAAGTGATTTTTATTATAATTCATTCAAAAACTCTCTTCTTCCAAAAACTCTCTTCCCTCCAACAACATACCTCCAGAGCCTTCTCCTCTTCTTCCTTCCAAACTCTTAAACATACACTAAGGATATGTTTGGGAGTTGGATTTCGGAGGGAGGGGATGGTTGACAAGGGTTTATGGCCCTCCATTTCATGTTTGTGAGTTAAAAAATATGGACGGGTGGTTTTGGAGGGCCTTTGTAGCCCTCCAAAACCCTTCAAATGCTCAATTTTCAAACTCTCCCAAATTGGGAGATTTTGAAGACATGGATAACTAATTAGGATGTTTTTACTTGGATTGTAATCCGTCCCAGACTAGACTAGACCAAACTAGGATAGTTATAAAAATACAAAGAATCCAAACATTACCATATCAGACCAGTTCAGACCAAACCAGACTAGACCAGCAAATTATAGTCCAAGTAAAAACATCCTTAAATGACAACTTCAGTTCAATTTTAAATAAATGTAAACTCAATTATTTGAATTCGTCATATATGTGAAGTGATTTTAATTATAATTCATCCAAAATATTTATCTTTTCAAACTTGATATTCCAAAACAAGAAGAATAGTTTCCAACTCTTTCCCTCTCATTCCCTTCCAATGACTAACCTCCAAAATCTTCCTCTCCCCTTCCCTTCAAACTCTCAAACATACCCTAATTAAAACATTGTCAACTTTTCGTTTTTTGGATTCTCACCAACTTTGTCATTTTTTCTTTTTAAAAAGAAGTTATGGTCCCTGTTGATTCTCTCTCCTTTGCACAAAATTCAACCACACAGTTTTTAATTTATTAATTATGTGTCAGTCTAATTTGGCTAAGTTTTAAGGGACAAAGGGAGTATATTTTTTATGTTTTCCATTCCAATTACCCATCATCAATTCAATGCTTAATCATATGATTAAAATCCTTTATACTCAAATTGTATCAACCATTAATCCAGCTAAATAAACTTTGTTATGAGGTGTGTTTTTAAAAGAATGACTCAATTTAAGTTTTATTCAATATTCATTAGCATTTGTATGAACATAAATAACATTGAGGAGAGTATTATCAGTGTACTATTGAGAGTGTATGACAAGTAATAATGTATAATACTAGTGTTTGTTTTGTAATTTTTACTATTCAGTCTCTAATGTAAATATATTTGTCAAGACCCTTTTAGGGTATTATGCTCCATTATTTTACAACAAGTGTCGATTCTGCATTGCTTGAGTTTGGTTTGTGATTATTTCAGTATAAAAAAAGAACATTTCATTTAGAAAATACTATTAGCTCGAAACTGATATGGTAACATGCACCTTCGTTATATTTGTTGGACCCCAGTGGTCAACACTCAACATTATCCGCCATCTTGAATGGTGCAAGCTAATAAAGAATTTGAACGAACCTGAATTTGATATAATTTCTCTTAAACTTCAACCTTTCTCGCTTTATAAAATTAAAGTAATTACTTAGAAGTACAGATAAGGAGCCGAATCGTTTATAGTTCTCCTTTATTTAGATTTTTTGCACTATACAATGAACAATAGGTTATCAAGAATATGCATTTTATGAAACAAATTCAGACCGAGTGACTCACCCAAAATATGTAACTTATTATCTCCTCAAGAGCTAGGTTGACTCCCTAACTTTCGATGTTACAGTTTTCACATTCTAGAAAGTGAGTTTTCTCATTATTCATAGTGAAGCTTCCACTCTTACTTGTTCAATGAGTGCTGAGGCTTAAGGAATAGTTGGATGGAATGGTGAAGATTGGTTTCAAACTACTCGTACATTCTTATTGCCCCATCATATCCTTGTACTGTGTATATGCTTTTATAAAATTCAAAATATTTCTCTTTTTTGCAACATTTGA